GTTTATTTATTTATTTATTTAAAGCTTTTATTTACTTATTTATTTTAGAGAGAGAGCATGCAAATAGGGGCAAGGGCAGAGGGAGAGAGAGAATCCCAAGCAGACTGCACCAAGGATAGAGCCCTGATGCAGGGCTCCATCCCACAACCCCAAGATCATATGACCAGCCAAAATTAAGTCAGATGCTCAACTGACTGAGCCACCCAAGCACCCCTTACCCTGATTTTAAAATTAATAAACCTCTGGGTGGTATTTAAAATTGGTCCCCTCGAACCAATTTTTCCTTCTTAAATTATATTTTAAGTGACGCTTTTTAATCTGGTGAAAGAATTTGGTTTTTGATGATTAGTTTTTTTATTGCAAAACTTTTTTACAAGAACGTACAGATATATTACCTGCACCTAAAAAATTAAATGTGCATTTATTTTCCAATTTTAGGGCACTAAATACGAAGAACTACAAGACTGCTTCAGTACAGTCCTATTAGCATTCGGAAGACAAATAACTTTCTAGGTTGTGACTACCAGTAATTCATTATGGAGTGCTAATTATTTGCATAAAACATAAGATGTGGAACATATCTCAAACATTTAGAAGATATTTAAGCCTGCAAATCTAATATTCTTCCTTGTTTTAGTACTATTAATGAATAAATAGTATTTGTTAATAATTTAGTATATGGTTGTTGATCTTTGTTTAGATCTGTGTTCTGGGGAGAAAATAATATTTAGACATTTCATAAAATCCTGAAGTGTTGTCTGTCATTTGAAAGCTTACTCCTAATGTTGAAGAATTGCAAGCTCGGAGAGCCAGAGTGAAGGCTGGGGCTAGAGGGGTAGAAACAGCACATTAAGTTCTTACCTTGTGTTTCTTCTTAGAGGTATTTGAAAATTGGATTGATAGTTTATCCAAGTGTCATAGCCCATTAAAGCATTCTTAATATTCAAAGAGAAATATGGATCCACTCATATTGCATAGATTCATGTATGCACATTACAGAGTGAGGCAAATGTCTCCATTTATGTGGTCTCATGCCTTCTACTTATGGCCTGTGTAAAGCTTCATATTAGCCGATGGCAGCCTCAGGATGAGTTGGAGGAAGGGAGAATGGGGAATGCCTTTTTAGTTGAGTATCTTACAAAAATACAAAGTTACAGGATGGATGGAATTTGTCTTTGGTGTCCTCTTATGCACATTTGTAGCTGTCCAAAGCTGCCTGTCCTGGAACATCCCCCTCTAGGTCTTATTCTCTTGTTCCCAGATTATCTCTTTTTCATTTGCCCTACCACTTTAAAACATATCTGTTCTTGAAAGATATGATTTAAATACATTACTGTAATTCACAGCGAGGTCTTTATCAAACAGTCCTTATTCAGTTGGGTGTGGTGGTGGTAGGATTTAAAAAGGGAAATTTATAATATCTATTAATGTAATATATTGGGGAAGTTATTTTTGATCCATGGTGACTTCCTTAGTACTTGTCCCTTTGCCATTCTAGGCTTCTCAGAGCTGGAAATCAGAATGTATAGAGACTGCAGTACTCTTCTTTCCAACTTGCTTTTTTTTTTTTTCCAGGGGGGATACTATGTCAATTCAGATGTATCTGGATTTTAAAAGGATTAAAGATGGTACACAGAATTTTTACTATTGTAAAATATAGTAATATATATATATATAATATATAATATATCTATTTTTATATCTCATACGATTTACTTTTTTCTAAAAGAATATTTAAAATCTTTATTTCCTATGCAAAGGACAGTGTAGAATGAACATCTTAAAGATATTATCAAGGATATAATGTGATCCAAAGGGAATACATTTGTCTTTAGGAATAATTTTACCAGGTGCACATAACTGAATGAAAGTCATATATATTGGTAAGTGTTACTAAATAAGCCTTATAAATGTATGCATTCTTTTGAGATGAGGTTTATATTTTCAGATTTTATTAAAATTTAAATAATTGCTCATTTACACTTACGCCTTCATTGGCTGTAATTAATTTTTATTGATGTGCCTCCAATAATAACACACACTTCATATAATATTCATAGATGGGAATGCTCATCTGATGCCTTACTGGGGGGCATAAGAAGCAGTATGACAGTTGGCAGAACTTATTTAGAGTTTACATAAATGCATAGTGTCCATTTACAGAAAAGCAAATGCAGGAACCAGTAACAGGAATAGTGAAGCCTGTAGAAAAACTAAGATATTTGAAATGATAATAAAGGAGCACACACACTTGATTTAAGGGGCATAAACTATTTATGATATCTATTGATTATTTTCTTTTTCTCTTTTCTTTTTCTTTTCTTTTTAAGATTTTACTTATTTATTTAGAGAGAGCATGTGTGTGAGTAGGAGGAGGGGAAGGGCAACGGAGGAGGGGAGGGCAAAGGGAGAGGGAGGGAGAGAATCTCAAGCAGACACTGCACTGAGCATGGAGCCCCACTCAGGGCTCCATCTCACAACCCCGAGATCATGACCTGAGCTGAAATCAAGAGTCGGACACTTAACCGACTGAGCCACCACCCAAGTGCCCCAGCCTTTTGTTATTTAAATTGTCTTGGTCATAGAAAAATATGAAAAGAGTTTCAGTTTATTTTATGAGGCTAGCATAACTGGACAAGGATAGCTAAAAAGGAAAATAATATTTCTAACTCATTAAAAAAACCCTCAAAATCAAGTATCAGCCAATAAATCCACATTTTAAACGATCATAAAATAAGATTGATTATTCTATGACTACTGCAATAGCTTGACATTAGTGGATCTATTATAATTAGCTTAAGTAATATATTAAAATGGAAAAAATACACGTCCCCCCAATAGATGCTGGAAAGCCATTTGACAAAATTAAATACCCTTTCCACTTAAAACCTCTTAGGACATGAGGATTAGGAAGAACCTTTCTTAATTTTTATAAAGGATATATCAGAATCATAACAAACATTAAGCTAGAGCCATCAACAACTCTAACACTGTGCTTTAGAAAATACAGTTAATGCAGTAAGATAAGAAAAAGCCCTGAGGGGAATAAAGGTTACAAAAAGAAATACAACATTGTTCCTTGCAGGTGATATAGTTACCTACCTACAATGTAAAAAGAAACTATTGAACAATATTAGAAATAATAAAATAGTCCAATTAACAGGATATATATATAGTTTTCTGCAAAAAAAGTTTTTAAAAAATATGTCAGGAAGTGTGAAACTATTCTATGTACAATAGAAAAAAGCTAAGGAAACTTAGGGTTAAAATGAAAATTTAAAGAATGGCTGAACAATATGCCATGTTCTAGGGAGACTCAATATTGTAAATATGCTATTTCTCTTTACTACATCAATAGATTTAATGCAATTCAATTAAAATCTCTACAGAATTAAAAATAATAAAACTTGACTAGCTACTTCTAAATTTTATTTTGAAGAGGATATTTGTCCCAACCAAAAATATACTATGAGGCTGTTTATAACATAATTACAACACTAATATATTAGGGGATTCCACTTAAAACTGGAAGGCAGAACACATTTATTTGCTGGCTTTCTTTCTCTGACACTAAAAATATAATACTAAAATAATGAGCCCAGAAAAATGAATAAGGAGATCATCAGAGAGTTAGAAGTTTCAAAAAAAATACAATAGACCAAAAATAAATAATAAAAAATAAATAAAAAGTAAGAATAGAGCTAGAAACATTTAAAGTGTGTTGAGGAAAGACTTTTTCAGTCTATTTCTTTTTTCTTCTACCTCCTTCCTATTCTCAGTACTTTCCCAGTTTGGGCAGCCCAGAATTTTACCCCCAGATATTTTTTAGGGCTCCAAGAGTAAGGTTCTTATTCTGGCATTATTCTCATAATAATACTTACCCTGGTTACTTTTTTTTATTTTTTATTTTTGGAGGGCTCCATAGCCTAACATGTGGCTCTCTACTTATACACCTTAAAGTGAGGAATGGCTAGTCAGTAGCACTGTACACACATACCCTAGTCACAGGCAGCTTTTCTAGAGATGGGGGAGATTCAGTGAGAAAACATTCCTACAGTTACCAGCTACCTAGAAAGATTGCTGCTATGTTCTGTCCATTCAGAGGACTTTCTAAATTTCCCAAACTTGACTGTCCCAAATTGGCTTCTGGCCGAGATAGAGTAAGAGGGGCTGGACTTATTCTCCTTCCTTAAACAATTGAAAACTGTACAAAACATACACAACCCCTCTTCTTAGACATTGGACACAGTGCAGGACTGTCATCAATGAGAAAGAGGAAACAACTGAGGTGAGTCCTGCAATTCCTTTTTATTTGGAGGCACTTTCTGGACTATAGAGGATAGAGGGGAATCTCCAAGTATGGTAGCCTTGCTCATATGAGACAGAAATTGGAACTCAGAGAGTCTAAAGTGTCTGGAATTTGTGGGGTAGAGTTCTAGAGAGGAAAGAGCTACATAGGAAAAGAGTTCAGAATTGTGCACTGGAGTCCCCTTAATTCTGCTGACTGCTAAGGCACCCATAGGGTTAAATTCCATGAAGGAAGGCAAAGGACAACTGGGGACCTGTCAGTTAACTGGTTCCCACAGCTTACATAGGGCCGGGAATCATTTGAGGGTGGGAAGTTCCCACCAGCCCATGGAGGGTCTTTGTCAGTCTCTTAGGGCATTCAGTGGAGATCCCAGAGGATCTAGACTACACTAGAGGTTGTGCTACACCCACCCTAACAAAAATTTTAAAACAAGCCTCAAAAGGATCATATTGAAACAGAAGTAACTAATCTCAACAGAACTACCCCATTTTCTGTAGAGGAAAACAAAACAAAAATCTAGACAATTAACAATATGAAATTTACAGTGTTCGCCTTCCAATAAAAAGCTACTAGACATACCAAGAAGCAGGAAAACGTGACCCATAACCAGAAAAAATCAGGCATTAGAAATAAGCCCACAAATAGCAGAGATGGAGTTAGCAGCAAGGACATTAGAATAGCTAGTATAACTATGTTAATGTATTTAAAGGAAAATATGAATGCAATAAGGAGAGAAATTGAAGGCATAAACAAGACCAAGTGGAAAATTTAGAGATGAAAAAATATCTGAAATGAAAATTTTCAGTAAATGGGAATAATAGCAAATTAGACATTGCAAAAGAAAAAAAAAAAAAACTAGTGAACTTGATGATATAAAAATAGAAAATATCCAGGGCGCCTGGATGGCTCTGTCATTAGGCATCTGCCTTCGGCTCGGGTCATGATCCCAGGGTCCTGGGATCGAGCCCCGCGTCGGGCTCCCTGCTCTGTGGGAAGCCTGCTTCTCCCTCTCCCACTCCCCCTGCTTGTGTTCCTGCTCTCGCTCTCTCTCTCTCTGTGAAATAAATAAAAATCTTTAAAAAAAGAAAATATCCAAAGTGAAACAGAGAAAAAAGACAAAAAAAATGAAAGGAATGTCAGTGAGCTCTAGAACAGTATCAAGTATCATATGTGTTACCAAGTCTTAGAAAGTAGCAGAGAGAAA